AGATAGGTCACCGCAGTATGGACCGAAGTCTGGGCAGCACCCTCTGGATGTCTGAAGGATGGACATCCTCTCTACCTTAGCAGTCAGAGAGTGCCTGCAAGAGCCAACACCTGATCTGAGTATCAAGGTCCTAAAACATTTTCCTGATGCATGATTGGGGAGTGGGTGGTTAGCTGCAGGAAGGGGAAGGGAATAGGATTCCAGAAGTCAGGGACGGAATGAGCTAAGTCACAGGGGAGAAAAAGAACATTAGTGTTCCCTGTTTTGAGCGCTTCTTGTGCCTCGCTCCCGTTGAAGCTGAGGGAGGAAATACAATCTGTTTACAAAAGTTCGTATGCTCTGGAGTCCCCTACAAAGAACCAAGCTGAGAAGAGGAAAAGAGGAAGGTGCAGATTCAAAACCAAGGTCTTCCTCAACGGGCCCTCCTTTAATGGCAGTGCAGCCCCCGAAAGGCGCCCAGAATGGCATCTGGGACTAGCGGGAGCATGATTTATGCGGGGCAGTTCCCAAGAGAGACCCTAAAGGGAGTGAGAAAAGTACCTAAAGGGAGTGAGAAAAGTACCTAAAGGGAGTTCTGCAGGAAGGTAGATTCAGATGCTGTCTAGCTGCAGGTTGATCCTATCAGGTGCTTTGGAGTGTAATTTGCAGCACAATGATTTATTTCACTTTGAGGGTTGGGAGTTGGAAGTTCCAATGGCAGGACTCCGTCATGTCCAAGTGAGGAGACTTCGGCCGGAAGGTTCGACTTCCTGAGAAGTATGCTGATGTGGGCATTGAATGTGTGAAAGGGATTTCTGTGGACTTAGGTGGGGAGAGGGCGGTAATAGCATCGGCTACAATCCAGTTCAAGATCTCACTGTTTCTTCAAAACATCATCCCCTCTTAAAACTTACCTTCTCTGCACATGTTGTTGCCTTTGCTTAGAAGATCTCCTACTTCTTTTTTTGTTAGCATTCTAGATCCTGTTTCAAATGGTAAACCATTTCTGCTGCCACAAAACTCAGTTTGTTCTTACAGTCATTATCACTCTGTATCGTGATTTAGCTGCACATGTCTATAACTCAATTACTTATTGTCTTTGTGAGGTCAAGAACTGGTTCTTATCCAGTTTATATTTTTAGCTATATTACTGAAAGGAATGGTGAGGCAAGAGCTCTGTAATACTTAAGGATCTGATGTTAGTCAGGTGTGTTGAGAAAATCACGCAGATGCCTTTTTTGCTTGAACCTGAAATCAAACTGTTTGGCAATAAAACAAGTTGCATTTAGCCCCTCAAATACCTTTGTAGCTTAAATGGTGAATACCTGAAATAGATGAAATAGATGAAACTGTTACCTATTTCATCTATTTGTCATTTGCAACTGCAGTCAGCAAATACTTACCTAGCATATGTGCCAGACAGTTGGCTGAGAACTGCAGATATGAGGATGAAAAAGACCTAAATGAGCTCAGGCCTCACAAAATGTCATAGTTTCATGTAAAACAAACACACAGAAGTACAGCACCACACAGCACGGTAACAGTTGTGATTGGGGAGCATGGGGAGTTACAGGAACACACAAAATTTCGGGCTTGCAGTTCACAAAAGCTTTCCAGAAAAGCAATGTGAGAGTTGAGGCTTAAAGGATCAATGAATGTTAAAATGAAAAAGATTTTACCAATAAAATATTAATTGATTAGTTTTACGGTCTAATGTAAGTCCTATCGGTCTTTGAAATAAATTTTAAATTTATAAAAATAATTATGTAAAATAAGTTCTTTGCGATACCATGCAAGTTCAACTACGTTTACTATCTGTGTTCTGATAGTTATTTATCCAAGCAGTCGGTGAGGTGCATGCGTTCACGGACGGGATCTTTCCTTAAGTAGTGGAGTACTGCCGCGGGAATCTTTGAGGAACCACGGCCATCAGTTAAACTTTGCCCTTTAATCTTTGTATTGCAGATTCCTATGAGTGACATGAATACATTTTTACATATGCTAACTTTTAAAAAGCTTAGAAAGTTCCTCAAAAAACTGAAAGTTGAATTACCACATGATCCAGTGATTTCATTCTGGTTATCTATTCAAAATAACCGCAAGCAAAGTCTCGAAAAGATGTGCACACCCGGGCTCAGAGCGGCTCTGCTCAGCACAGCCAAGCCGTAAAGGCAGCCAGACTGCCATGCACAGCTGCATGAATAAACAGAACATGGCATATGTGTACAGCAGAATATTATTTAGCCTTAAAAAATAAGGAAATTCTAACACATGCTACAACATGGATGAAGCACAAGGACATCATGCTAAATGAAATAAGCCAGCAATAAGAAGACAAATACTGTATAATTCCACTCTAAATATGAGGTATCTAGAGTACCCAGAGTCATGGAAATAAAAAGTAAAATGGTGGCTGTTAGGGGCTGGGGGAGAAGAAAATGAAGATTTTTTTGTTTCATGAGTATAGAGTTTTGGTTTTGCATGATGAAAATGTTCTGGAGATTGGTTAGAGACCAGTGTGAACATACTTAATATCACTAAACTGTACACCTAAAAATGGTTAAGGCAGTACATTTTATGACATGTGTATTGTATCATAACTTTTTAAAAGCTTAAAAAATGGAAGTAATGATTTGTTTATATTTATTTCAGGGTCCTGAGGTGTGACTAGTGATATACAAGGGTTGAAAAGTACTCTGACTGGTGTGGCTCAGTTGATTGGGCTTTGTCCCGGGAAGGGAAAGGTCACCAGTTTGATTCCCAGTCAGGGCACATCCCTACATTGTGGGCCTGGTCCCTGGTTGGGGCACTTGTGAGAGGCAACCAGTCCATGTTTCTCTCCCTTCCTTCACCTCTCTCTAAAATTAAATAAATAAAATCATAAAGAAAAAAGACTTCAAAAGTAATGGGGGGCGCAGCCCATGTAGTGCTGTTGAGGTGGCTATAGCTTGAGCTCTGCCCTGTGGGCAGTGGGAACCTCGAAAGGGTTTGAAGAGAAGAACTTTGTCTGTTTGTGATTCAGAAAGTAGAGGATGGGTAGGAAAGAGGCAGCCTCGGCAGCAGTCTGGCCAGTGCAGAGGCTGTGGCTGTGGCCAGCTTGGAGCCGATGAGAATCCGAATGTGGGTAGGTCAGTGGGCAGGTTACTGTTGGTGATGGTGGTGGTGGAGGATAAAGACAGAGTAGATTCAAGAATTATTTAACAGACAAATTAAAGCCCTGGCTGGTGTAGCTCAGTGGATTGAGCGCGGACCTGCGAACCAGACAGTCTCTGTTTGATTCCCAGTCAGGGCACATGCCTGGGTTGCAGGCTGGTTCCCTGCAGGCCAGTTCCCAGCAGGGGACGCATGAAAGGCAACTGTACATTGATGTTTCTCCTCCTCTTTCCTTCCCTTCCCCTCTAAAGATAAATAAATAAAAATCTTTTAAAAAAAGAGATAAATTAGACAGACTCTGCGATTTATTGAACTGACAGATGGTGGGGGGAGGGGTGAAAGAGAGGATGGAGTCAGAGTGACTCCTACTTTTCTGGCTCTGGTGACTGCAGAAGCACAGTGCAGCCTGCGAGAGAACTGAAGAGCAGGAGGAGATGTGGAGGGTATCTGGGCTGAAAGCCCAGGCACTGTACCGGGCATATGCATGACGTTATTCCACTCCCAATGAACACATAACTGGTCAAGAATGAATGTTAAATGAGGCCCGTGTTTCTGAGGCAGATTACCTTCCCAAACTACTCACAGGGTTAAGAAAACAAACATATGGCACTTTGCAGTTCACAGAAGTGCTGTAACCTCATTTTGTGGTGTGTTCTCTCTCAATGAATTGTTTTCTACCAGGCTGCCAGTTCAGTTATCAGACACGGGCTTTGTCCCCTCAGGGGACCTGGGATGGCTTGATGGTGGCAGAGAGAGGATTCCGATCCAAATGATCTGAACGGGGTCCCGGCCGGGATGCTCATTAGTTGGGGGACCTTGGACAAATCTCTGAACCTCTCTGAGTGTTAGTTTTCTCACAAGGAAAGTGGGTAAGAGGAACTGCAGTTAAAGAAATAGATGAGAGTCCTTTGCAAAGAGCAGCCAAGAGATTGTTAGCAGTATTTTTGTTGTGATTGCTTTGAAACTAATATTAAGCCTGGAACATGGCAGAAAGCCTTCTCTGGAAAATGCAACTAATGCTAATCAACTTCTACATAAGAGTGGACAACAGGTGCCATTACCAGCTCTTCTTCTTGCTATGACATTATGAGTCAGACTGAGAGCCAGTATCCAAAACAATCATATTTTCACCTTAAAAATAAAAAAAAAGTAGGCATGATTTTGTAAGAAGACATGTTGTTAGCAAGCCGATATGATGAGAATAACTGTTGGCGATAACAATAACTGGCACAAGGTTGGACTTCACAGTTAAGCTTGAGATGGTGTTATGACAATGTTTAGACTCCTGCCCGTAATACCCCTGTATCATGCACAAGGAACAAAAGCAAAGCAAGGCACACTAAGATTTTACTAGGTGGGTTGTGAGTAGTACATAAAATTCTCAGGAGAAATGATGCCAGTACTTACCACAGCCAACCCCGCCTTACAGAACAAGCTGACCACCAGTTCGCCCCAAGAAGGGTAGAGCCATATCAACTGTAAAGACTATTCTCACATAGCTAAGTGGCCTCATTAAGTTGTTTACTGATTTGAATTAAATAGCTCTTAATAAGCATAGGCTACTACCTACAAGCCACTTATGTTAGTGCGTGCCACTTGGCACCCTTCTGTAGCTCATAAGTAGAGACAACCTTTGTCACTCAAAAACAATCCTTCAGTGTTAGTTGATATTGGCAGCAGGTTCATTTTTGCTTGCACCTGACCTGGTTTATGGTGACCACTGAGAGAGCCTGCAGCAAAGCCTGTTTGTTGATGGTCAACAACAGGCCCACACTGGGTCCGGTAACTGAAGACAGAAGGTGAAGTTCAAAGCTGTACCCTTTGCAAACACTAATGCTTTTTTTTTTCTTTCTTGCCTTTTCTCCTAGAAGTATCGATATCAAGATGAGGATGCTCCACACGATCATTCCTTACCTCGACTAACCCACGAAGTGAGAGGCCCTGAACTCGTGCACGTGTCAGAAAAGAACCTGTCCCAAATAGAGAATGTCCACGGCTACGTCCTGCAGTCTCACATCTCTCCTCTGAAGGTCAGTCTGGTTGCTCCTCTAGCTGGCAGCACGGTTGGTCTGCATTGCTCTGGGCGATGTTTGCTGGCCTGACTAGAGGAGGTTCTTTTAAAAAACACTGCAGTAGATTGTGATTGCCAAAGGGCTTTTCTGTGTTTAGATGTTAGCCTGGAATTCCCTACATGGGGGCAGTTATTCTTGCAATTGTTTGAATGTCTGGAAAATCCGTTTAAATGCTGAGGATGAGTTGAGGATAGCCAAGGGTGGACAATTGAAAGGAGAATTAAGGTAACCTCAGATTTTAAAAGCCCAGGAGTGCATCAGGGTTTTGTTCAAATGCTCTCTTTCCATCTCTTTTCCGGGTCCCTGATAAAACAGTGGAGGTGAATGTAATGTGATAACACCCAGTGATTTCCGTGTGTGTAGACTGAAATGGAAAATGTGTGAGTGGCCTCACAAACACCTCTATCTTATGCTCTATTTTTTTCTATTTGGTGTCATACTTTTCCAGCTTTCTACCTTTTTAATTTAATTAAAAGCAATTTCTTGATAAATGGTATTTTGAGAGGGAGGGACAAATTCATGGATAAGAATTTTCAGTGCTCTTTTCTCTTTGCTGATGTTATGGGATGTTGTGCTTTGTGTAAAAGCTTATGTGGGATTAGAGTTAAAGAAAAATGTAACTAGAGTCAATGATGTGTGATAGAAGAGCATTGAAATGGAAAATAAAGCAACAACAAAGCTACCTAATAACCTAGGAGGTAGGTAAAGAAAATTTTGTTTTCTTAGCCAAAGCATCCACTTTAGCAGCACTTCTATATGGCTCTTTTGCAATTAAAAATATAGCCTGGCCGGTGTAGCTCAGTGGATTAAGCACAGGCTGTGAACCAAAGTGTTGTCAGTTTGATTCCCAGTCAGGGCACATGCCTGAGTTGCAGGCCAGGTCCCCAATGTGGGCCACACGAGAGGCAACCACACACTGATGTTTCTCTCCGTCTTTCTCCCACACCCCCTCTCTCTAGAAATAAAAAAAGAAAAGAAAATATCTTTAAAAACATAGCCATAAATTGGCCTTAATGCTTTCTGAGATTTTATTATATTTTCCTAAATATCAAAGCAAGGCTGGATTATATTTAATATTCTTCCAAAAGTTGGTATATTTAAAATACCCTGGAATCCTAAAAATTATTATCAAATAAACCAGCTCTAGTTGCCACAAGTTCATTAGAATATTAGGCTAATTGTAAAGTTCCATTAAATAGTTTGTAATATATAAAATATATAAATATTCTGCTTCTGGAATTCATTGGTCAGTTCTTCCCAGAGTCTCTTTGGAAGTCATTGAATGACTGGTGGAAAAAGATACGTTTAACCCAGAGAAAATAAGATTAAGGGGATTAATCACTCCCTTCTTAAGCCTCAAGGGCTGTCAGAAGGAAAACAGGACTACGCTGTAAGACTAAGGTTCCTGACAGTGAGAGCAACCCCCCGAAATGCTGGGGTTCCCTGTCCCCAGAAGTCTGTCAGGCCCGGATGGAGACCATGCGGTGTTGTTGAGGAGGAACTGCTTCTTCAGCAGGAGGGGGCATAAAACTGTCCCTAAGGTCCAGCCTAACTCTAGGAATCTCATTCTGTTCTGTGGATGGATGATGGATTGCCTTCCTTCTTAAGGACCCTTCCATTTTTGCCAACAATTGCTTATTCCTATTTTGTGTGCTGACCAGTATAAATTGAGAAAGGGCCGAGCTGGGAAGCTGGATGGCATGGAGTGGTAAAATTTTAGTTCATTTCATTTTTCTAACTTGTTGAAAGACTCGCACTAAGCCCCTCCATGACGCCTCCCTTCCTCTTCTCCTCTCTGCCTAGCGTTTTTTTTTCCGATCAGCTCTATAGCCCAGCTCCTAAAGGCTGCAAGCCAGCAGGGATAATTAAGGCTAGGCTAGAGCTAGCTACATTACAGTAAACAAAATAAAAATTATATATATATATTTATATATATGTGGAACAAACAATAAAAGTATGACAAGATTTTCATTGTGTGCATTCAGCATATACATGCTAATATAATCTTCAGCATATACATGATCATATAATTGAGCAGCTTCAGTTTGGGTGATCGTACTGTGTGTGATGCCACTTAATGCCTCATTTGGAAACTGCATATTGGAGTTAAAGGCAAAGGTTGTTGTTTCCAAAGATCAGATCTCAGCTATAAAGGGACAGTTCCCATCTTACCTTTATCTCTCGCCTTCCAGGAATCTGAGCTGTGTCTTCATTTTCAGTTGTTTTTCTTAACTTAGGTTGTCAATTTCTATTTTCTATCTTAATTCTTATTCTGCTCTTTATATATACATATATACTTTTATGGTTTTTGCGTATTCATGTTTTTATTGAAAGCAGCTCATGTTAATCTTGAAAGTAGCCACCTATGAATTAAAAAACCCTGATATGAAATATTAAGGTTAGAATACATTTTCCCCTTCCTTTGGGAACCACCAGCGCAGCGGTGGGACCTTTGAGGTATGGTGCAGAGGGTGAAGGGTGAGTTCATCCAGGACTTCTGCGCCCAGGCTCCGAGGTAGCTGTTTGTGGCCAGGACTTTTCTCTCATGACAGGCTCGAGGTGTTATTTATGCTGAACGAGATATACTTTTAGATATTTCTTCTATCAGCTATAGTGAGGAGGATAACAGTGCACAATTTCCTAGGAAAAACATCTCTCTCCGATGTGTAGAGCATGCCTGTTGGGTGGTGTAAATACCCCCGCTGTGGCTGATTTCAGGCTCAAAGCTACTGAGTGGATTCGGAAGACGGGAACAGGATGCAAGCCCGGGCACCCGCTGCACGGTCAGGCTCAAGCACAAGTGTTTTTACAGCAACAGGACACACTTCCTAATTCAGTTGTTGAGGGATTATTATACTCTCACATTTCCAGTGTTTGGAAAACCTGCCATGATTAAAATCGAATGTGTTATTCTCTCATAAATGAAGCCTATTTGAGTCAGAGGAATACTAAGAAGGTACAAATCCTCCTTTAGAGGCGGTATATTTTCAACTCTTTGCTTCTCCCACCTGTTTGGTGCCCTTGGTTCAAGCACCAAAAGGGGGAAGAGAGAGGAGGCAAAAAAGCACATAAGCAGATACTGCCCCCTGAATCCTACTTAGGAGACGCTGTAGCTCTCTGGTATAAATTAGGAATTTACACACGGCATGCCTACACAGAGTGTGAGATGGCTGGGTAACACCTTAAATGTCGCTCTGAGCAGCCTCTGGACCGTTAGCTGAGTAATCTCACTGCTGCAGGTTTTGTAGTCGTTTTTTCCATCACCATGTGTCACTCGAAGCCTTGGTTCTAAGATTCATCTGCACCCGGTGTACACCCACTGCCTGGCTGATAGATGGGCCTTGCTAGGCTTGTTTTCATTAGAGTGGCTTGGCCAGTGTGAAGTATGGGGCTGTGAGGAGAAATGCACAGTGGCCAATTCAAGGGAATTTGTTTTCCTTGCCTCAAGATGGGCATGCTTTCTCTCCAGATGCTACCTGGAATTGTCCACAAAAGAAACTGGCCTATAATAAAGCAGAAGAATATTTTTTTCAGTTAGGTCAATTCAATTAATATTAATTGAGTTACTACTATGTGCATCATAATAGGTGGTAGGGAAACAAAGGACAATAAAACATGATACACACATATGTATTTCTCATATGTACATACACACACCCACAGATATGTCACTACCCTAGAGAATCTGAGTTCCAGTTATTTGTTACTTACTCTTACCCTGCAACAGGAACTCAAATTCCCAAAGCTTAGACACAGTGAGACGCCAGGCATCCAGCAGAGTAGTCTCAGAGAGAGACAGAGAGCAAGAGAAAGGTGGGAACAGGCTGACTTATTTTTAAGAGTCTGGACATCAGAACACCTGGGTTTTAACCCTAGCCCTTTCATTTAGTAGTTTTATGAGCTTGATCAAGTTATCCTCTTTGTCTCAGGTATTGTGTCTGTAAAATATAGGTAATAACAACATTCATCTCACAGGATTTTTGTACTAAGTTAATTATATAGTACATGTATTTACACTACTTAGAAAGTGCCAGGCACATATTAAGCGCTCACCAAGTGTCATTTTTTTATCTTGTTTATTTTTATCAACCAGCTACCATGACAAATACCTTACGATCACTTATATTCTTTACCTCATTTTACCTCTAAGAGATATTACACCTGATTTTAAAATTAAATAGCCCCCTTCAACCACAGAACCAGTAAATAAGATTCCAATATTTTTAACTCAGATGTTTCTGCGTCCAGAGCTGATATGCTTTATCACTCCTGTGTTATATCACTTTTTCTAAATTGTTCTGCTATTTTTAAAGAGATCTGACATTTAAATTTTTATTCATTTTCTCTTTGTGTGTAAATGTTGAAGCTCCTTTTTTTTCTTAGAGCCTTATTTTGTAAAATCAAACAGATATAAAAATAAGGGAATGTGTAGTAAAAAACAGCTTTCTAAATGAGAACCATGAAGAGTGCTGATAGAGGGGAATGAAACATTATGAGGAAATAGAAGGAAAAGAGGGTCTACGTTTAAAATACTTTAGTCTGCCCAGTCGAAGACTCCCCAAAGACTGCGCTCCACTCCCATGACAACAACCAGTGTCGGGGGACTAGTTTCCCCTTTAAAATTCCACTGAGACTGTAGGAATCTGTCCCCGAGCAGCTGAAGAATCTTTCACATTGAGATGCACTGCTCACACTTGGTGCCTGTGTCCTCAAAGGGCCCAGCAAGTCCAGCCCACCACGCCCCTCTGCTTCTCCTTCCCGGCAAGATCTATTTCTATCATTTTTATTTGGTGACTTACTCTTCTGTTTTTTCATTGTTCATGTCATCATATTTTTCCATTACCACTTATCACTTCTATACATCCTCCTTCACCTCCAACCACCCCCCACGATGTGTTATTTATTCTTTTGAAGTGTTCATTCTATATTTCTTAATTTCTTAAACTATCTCATCATTT